CTCTTCCCTGTTTCCAAACATACATCAACTCCCGCCATTTCGACTGTCGAGAACTCCCGCGAGAACAACAATAAGGCGATCGCCGCAGATGCCCATGCACTAATCACGAGCGAGGAGACAATCATCCAAACACCAATGATCCATATCATTCTATTCCCTAGGGCAGAACTTCTGGTGAGCCGCTCTCGTGGAGTTGAAGGCGCAACAACCACACTCAATGACGCGCAAGGAAGCAAACTCCGCAGTCATGAAGAACGCCAATAGGGCAAGGAAAATAGCGAAGATAGCAACTACTTCAATGGGTAAGTCGGTCTTCCAGCATCAGCAGGATTTTATCAACTCCTAAAAAACACCATTCACAATCATCAAACACAAAGAAATGTAGATCGATACATTTTAAAGCAGCCACATGAACCATGTATATAGACATGCATTTACAAACAGAGAGACGAACCCCAATTCGACTAAACGACTCTTAAACGCCGACGAAACAATAGGGTAGTTGGCAAGAGGTCCCAAAAAGCTTTTTCACCGATCCTTGCCCTGATCGGATCATCAGGGGAGAAGAGTACCCTTCGTTATCGTGCCGAAAGGGGTATGGCCAAACAAGTCAAGAGACAGAGCAAGGTAACAACATAAAATAACAATCAAATGAGTTGGAAATTACAAAGAGATTACCCCTCTCGATGATGACGCGTGATCACCCATTCTTGCCGTTGTTGATACCGCATCCAACAAACCTCAGTACGCCCAATCAACGAACCCTGCGTTAAACCCCGCGCGCCCTCCGCACACTCCAGCGGTCAGGATGACAGCAGCCTTATGCTAGGGGGGAGGAAGACGAGCAGTCCAATGGCTGGGCGGCCATAACCGGGCAAGCAGCGATAGATCAACACTTCCATCCCGTGGGTACCGTAGTAGCGCGAGAGCGTGGGTCAGAGGACTCAATGGGCCACATTGGATCCAGGCGCTGCACTCACAGGCCTTAACAAGAGAGGGGGAGATCCATATACCACCAACACTTAAATACCGAAGAATGGGACTAACNAGGGGGAGATCCATATACCACCAACACTTAAATACCGAAGAATGGGACTAACATCTGGTTCGCGAATACCTAACCAGGCAAGATTGGTCCCACACCAGAGCGTGGGCCAGAGGGGGAGGCCAGGGTGGGCACCAGGCAGAAAAAAGTGTAACAATAGCCCATCAGGCCCACAAGTCGCAGCGGGGGTTATTTTGCGCGAGGGTACCTTATACGGCCGAAAGAGCCAACATATGTTTTTGCGACACTCGTACCCCTAATTGAACCACAGGGGAGAAGGTTAAATTACACCAAGGGAATACATTACCCAGAAACCTTTGCAAGCAGTCATGATTTCCAATTAACTTTAAACCAAAGCATGAAGGATAAACCCTCCAAACCTGCGGATAGAAAAATACTAAAAATAGTATAAATAATATATACATGGGGGGAAAAAAGAGGGGGGGAGAGAGAGAAGGAGACAAAAGAAAATAAAACGAAAGAAAATAGGGGGGAAGGGGTAAAAAAGGGTTTTTTTTTTTAATGTACGTATGTGTGTGTGTGTGTGTGTGTGTGTGTCCCACCCCATTCTCGGCTGGCAGGTTACTGTTGAGGCCGGTGACAGGTACCTGCCTCAACAGCAAGGTACTTGCCAGCATCCTTTCACAGCCCATACCGGTCGGGACTGAAATTTTTTTTTTTACACAAACACAACACCATAATTCCACATCACATCAAAGAGTATGAGGAGAACAAGACGTACCTTGAAGATGAGGCATGTTTTCTCAACGTCCACTCTGGGTTTCATGTACTGTTGTGGAGAGTTAAGAACCAGATACACGCATCTCAGACACTTCTGTCTGTGGAATCCATTGCTAACCATTTCCTCCACGATATAGACCAATTCCCTAGCCGCATCCTTTGGTTCAGAGCATAGAACTAGGACAATGGCCGTCTGGGAGATGATGATGTTTACCGATTGCTGAATATGACAGTTAGAGTGAAATTTTACGTATTTTGAAATGGGGAAGTCCATTCGTCTTCTCTTATCGAATTTCTTAGTTATATATTCACCTGTTTGCTTCGAGACCACAGGAATCTCAAGATTTAAGAACTGGGTCTTCAGGCCACAGAACTTACCCGGAATTCCATTAGAGAAAACTTCCGTTTGGTTTTTGATTTCGATAAGGTCCATTGGGTATAGCTTGTATATGTTATTCTCATTTTTGGAGGCTTCCGGATCCAAAAATCTCAAAATAAGCGGGTTGTTTAAGCAGTGCAAATCATCGATGTCTCTGAAAGCGTATTTGAAAAGCGGAAGTATTTCAAAGGCCCTGAGGTCCAAAATTCTCATTATCAACTTATATTCATATTTTAAAAAATAGATATTGTAGAAAGCCGGAGAGCAAGGAAGCCCCATCGGAATACCAGATTTCTGTCTCCAGAAGCACCTTCCGAGGCAGGTGAAGCTTCTGTCGAGGATCCATTGGACCAATTCAACAATCCTATCCTTGGTGAGGTATATTATCATTTTCGATTCTTTTCCTGACCGTTCCACAGGTTTATACGAAACATTACCATTGGTCGCAATCTTGCATTTTAGAAGTTTAGTTGTGCCCATCATTCCCCACCCAATCCCCAGAAAAAAACTTAACAGCATCTGGAAGTCCATCCTGCTCTTATCGTACGGGAATAGTTTCGAAGCATCTCGCAATATTCGATGAGAACACGGAAAAAAACTTATCCGGTAGGTTGTAACAGTAGTCTTGGACCGAATCCACCACCCACCACAATGAAGTTTCAATGCCATGAAATCCCCGAACGTCATCCGTGATCAATTTACATTTACTTTTAACGAAAGGGATTACGGCCTTGATCGAAGCATCGCAGATTTTTGCCACCATGGTGAGAAAAGACGCAGACGCGTTAGTTATCCATCTGAACGATCTCTTGTGGTGCTTATAGAGAGCCATCAAGAACGATTTTCTCTCCGGCATATCAAACCCGTTCGACAGGATAGTTGAAAGCGATTGCTTAGCTTCCTTAATGATTTGCTCTGGAGTCTGGGTTACCGGTTCGAAGTCATTATTGCTTAGACGTTCCAGTGTGAGCTTACGTACTAAGTGAATACAAGCAAAGGAAGAAGTGTTGACAACCTTATCAGTTCCCGAAATAAAAACAAATCTTGTTAGAAACCTAATTTCATTCCTAACGGCATGATTATCCAATACGTATGGCTGTCCTTTATATTTTTTTACGGAATGCAGTGGATAGTTGTTGCGAGACCTGGCTGCACACAAATTTGTATGCCTCCCTAATCGCACCAGTAGGAAGAAAAATCCTCTGGACAACCAGCTCAACTATCTTATCCCAAGCTTTCAAGAACTCCCCTTTTGCAACCGCAATAGTCATGGGTTGGATGGGGATATGGTTGATCTCATTTTTTAAGAGCAGTGCAAGTTCCTTGTTAGCTGAGATGTTCGAGTCCAACGTTAGCACATGAGTGGATGCCGATTCAAATGGCTGTTCCATTTTCTTAGTGCAATCCGCATGGTAAGCAATAAATTTTTTTCGCACACAAGGATAGGTGTTCCTCTTGGCACATTCGAGGATCCAAGTTTTAAGATCAAAGTCCCTGAAAACATCGGTAGGGAAGGAAACCACCGACTCCAGGGAATTGAGGTAAGTCCAACCAATCATCAGCGAGGAGAGGAGGATAACAACTTCTTGTGAGAAGAACAATTCAAAGGCTTTCTCAATGATCTCCCTGAATCTTACTGCCTCCATAGCACGATTAGCATATTTGATATGGACAAACAGATTGCCCTTTTCGCTCTGCTTCGACAGCCATTTCAATCTTCCTGCTTCGTCAGTAATCAGAAATCCATCCTGATCCTGCAAACAAGACAAGCGAGGCACAAGCAAGGTTAAATAGGATACTATTTGAAAAGAGAAGCCCTGACCGCTCAATTCCTGGGATTCCTTCTCAACTGCTTGCCAACAACCGAGTTGACATGCTCAGATTGAACAGTGACAACCGAGCTCTGAGGAGTGTCTTGTATGGCGATATCATCCGAGCTCATGTTCGGAGAAGCAAGGTCAGCCACCTGCTGGCCACCACCAAGTCCCTGATCCTGTTGCGCGCCCATACCGGAGGGTCTGACATAGTACGAGAGCAACGTGTTACTTTGTCTCTTCGTCGGCCGCTTGTCCGTCTCCTGCACCTTTCGTTTCCTTGCAGGGCTCTTGATGTACTTATCCGGAAGGATTAGTACTGCCATTTTCCGCGGAAACTTTCTAGCCATAATCGCAGGAACATCATGGATCGTACCCTGCCTTCTACACGGGTTACTGATCACATTCTCAGCCATTTGAGCCATGATACGTCTCATGTGCGAAAACACGATGGATGCGAGGACGGGGGCTCTCCATTTTTTCTTGAGAAGGTTCCTCAAGACCCTGATCCTGGCTCTGAGCGAGGGAGCAGCAGAATATAAAAAATCAATATTGGCAAGCAAATACCACAAGATGTGGTCGAACCACGTGATAGTGGTTTTGCAATCCTCCTTCCCTTCTTCAATGCATCTGCACTTGAGGAAGGGACGCCCGACATTCCAAATTCTCTTAAGTTCAGAGATAACGTCAGGGCTCCTTGCAGCACAAAAGCTCCTGATTTGCAGCTGCGAGCCAGACACCGAACATTTAGAACGATCAAACTGCCCTACCGATGGTAAGTCCATAGCATCAGGACCAAACGGATACGGGCCCTTGATGAGCTCCGTATCCTCGTTCAACGCCTTTTCCAAACAAAAATCCATTTCAGCCTCCGTGATGGAAGCAAGGAGCTGATATGCCCTAATGCTAATGGGAGCAGAGTGGTTGATGGTCTCAAGTTCCCAGACCTTGTCGTTGAGTCCCGCCGATTCCGATTCAATCCACCTACTCGGAGCTAATGGGAGAAAAACATTCCTCATGTACTTGGAAACCGATTTACGCTTATCCTTAGCTATACCACTACTAAGGCCCTGCTGGGTTTTTGCCAATTCTGCAGCATGGAAGCGCTTTTCCTCTTCGGCGAGGTCCAGCCCATCACAATCAGAGTCAGACTCATAGGATTCCGTGACTGGAACAGTTACCAATCCATCGTGGAAGGCTGATTTAGCCCCCCAAAGATCAACAAAGACCTTCTCCTTTAAGGCTAATTCGTCCACTATAGAGACATGGGTCAGGATGTCCCCATCGACCATATCCTTTGCCCTTTCCACGAAATCCCTAGTAACCTGTGGGAAAGAAGTTGCATCATACGAAGCTGCCCAAATAAGGTCTGCCCAGTCATTGAAACGCAAGATAGACAGAAGTGGTGGGTAAGGGGGCGAAACATCGAAAGAATTGGCCCTAACAAATTCCAGGACCACAGGGTTAGCTAAGGCGATTAATGTCTGTGCGGGACGTGAAGGTGCTTTGAAATTATCCAACCACGACTGCGCCCCCTGCACCAAATCTGTATACCACCCATTTGGCGTAAAAGTAGGTTTCTGTTGCACAGACAAACGAAGCATAGTGTTTAAAGGTCGGAGATTAATAACAATCTGTAGTTTGAAAAGCAACAACCAATTTTCCCCGGAATACGGGACTCATTTCGCATCCTTCAATTCATAACAAGGATCAATTAATACGTCATAAGGCAAAAAATATTTTTATCGACATGTTTGACAAGGAGGAATCGACCCCCATTGATGGCTACAGAGGGGACTTAAGCATAAACCCTTCTATGTGTGTGTTTTGTTATGAACAGGAAGCCACCTCGAGAATAATCGCGCAACAAACGAAACAGAACAGCCATGCCTTATTACGACACTCATAAATCCGGTATGTATGGATATCAAGGAACGACAAAACTGAATTCCCCAGGGTTTTTTTTTGCTTGGAATATAGAAGATTTTCAACTGACCACTAAACGCCTCAAAGCGCATTCGCAAATTTAGTGCAACCAATGAAAGGGAACCGCTCAACAGGTAGGACGGATTGGTGACAGACGTAGGTCGCGTGTCATGACAAAAACAAGCATCATTCACCAAGAGAAACCATAAGCGCAACAACCACGAGACAAATGCAAATGGACAACCATTCATCCAATTATCGTTTGCGAAGTCCGCCGGAAGATTACAAATATTAATCAATACATCAATAAACCATCAATTGATCAAAAAAATCATAATAAACCCACCATAGCACACCCCGGCAGAACTTTCAAAAAAGCACAACCCTAGGATATACGGATCGGAACATCCGAACAATAAGCTCATAGCAGATCCAAACCTACAAGTCATAAAAGGAGAAACCATTCAAGAATCAATAGTTTAACACGATACTGAAGGAAGCAATTACACGAAGTAAGGAAAACCATTGGAAGATTCATTGGCAGAAAATCTTCACCATCGTGTTAATACCCCACACCACATCCTGACTCAAAGTAACAATGAACGACCAATCTCCGAACTCATCACGAAATTATTCAAGCAAAAGGAAAACACAACTCGTTGAACTTTATTGCGCCGTCAAGTTATCAAGGGGATTTTTGATCTGCTACATTAAATGAAGAGTGGCTTCTCAGACCATCAGCGCCACCTATCCTTACTGATTGTATCACTTGCGCCACTCCATCAGGATCTATCGACCCATCCATCCCTCTGCACCTCCGTAGCCACTCGCAAAATCAACCCCCTCAAATATCCTGAAATCCTCATGAGGCAAATAAACTTCATCCCTCTCCTTATGACCAGYGGTTCTCTGCAACTTCAAATTCATCAGGCTATCACACACAACCCTTCATCACCATCTATCTGCGAAAGCACCCCGTCGTAGTTCAAGTTCCACATCAATATCCCCCACCTCCCCGTGACTCCCTACCCATCGGTCCAACATAGATCAGGAGGAAGGTCGACGTCTTCATCTTCCACAACACGAAAGGAACGCTAAGTGTTGTAAGCAAAGGAAAAGCCAGAAAGCCGAGATGCACTCCCACCCTCTTCCCTGTTTCCAAACATACATCAACTCCCGCCATTTCGACTGTCGAGAACTCCCGCGAGAACAACAATAAGGCGATCGCCGCAGATGCCCACGCACTAATCACGAGCGAGGAGACAATCATCCAAACACCAATGATCCACATCATTCTATTCCCTAGGGCAGAACTTCTGGTGAGCCGCTCTCGTGGAGTTGAAGGCGCAACAACCACACTCAACGACGCGCAAGGAAGCAAACTCCGCAGTCACGAAGAACGCCAATAGGGCAAGGAAAATAGCGAAGATAGCAACTATCGCCACCGAAATGTAGGCTGCCTCCATTCGGGTAACTTCAATGGGTAAGTCGGTCTTCCAGCATCAGCAGGATTTTATCAACTCCTAAAAAACACCACTCACAATCATCAAACACAAAGAAATGTAGATCGATACATTTTAAAGCAGCTACATGAACCATGTATATAGACATGCATTTACAAACAGAGAGACGAACCCCAATTCGACTAAACGACTCTTAAATACCGACGAAACAATAGGGTAGTTGACAAGAGGTCCCAAAAAGCTTTTTCACCGATCCTTGCCGTGATCGGATCATCAGGGGAGAAGAGTACCCTTCGTTATCATGCCGAAAGGGGTATGGCCAAACAAGTCAAGAGACAGAGCAAGGTAACAACATAAAATAACAATCAAATGAGTTGGAAATTACGAAGAGATAACCCCTCTCCATGATGACGCGTGATCACCCATTCTTGCCGTTGTTGATACCGCATCCAACAAACCCCGGTACACCCAATCAACGAACCCTGCGTTAAACCCCGCGCGCCCTCCGCACACTCCAGCGGTCAGGATGAAAGCAGCCTTATGCTAGGGGGGAGGAAGACGAGCAGTCCAATGGTTGGGCGGCCATAACCGGGCAAGCAGCGATAGATCAACACTTTCATCCCGTGGGTACCGTAGTAGCGTGAGAGCGTGGGGCGGAGGACTCAATGGCCCACATTGGATCCAGGCGCTGCACTCACAGGCCTTAACAAGAGAGGGGGAGATCCATATACCACCAACACTTAAATACCGAAGAATGGGACTAAC